CATGTATTCACACTGTGGGTCCAAAGTACTAAAGGGAAGTTAGATTTTATACTAGATATTTTATTTTATTAAAAAAAAGAGAGAAGGTAAATGGGAGTGAAGAAAGGGAAAATAAGAGAGCTAGACCCACATCTTTTTTAGTCTTTAAAAGTTGTAAATACACCAGATATAATTTACAGACAAGGAAATCTGTGGTTATTACTGTATTTATTTATTTTATTTTTATTGTTTTGTATTATATTTTTTTTCTACACCCTCCCCTATACCTACTTACTTCCCCACTTCCACCACCACTTCCACTTCTACATTCAACCTCCCCCAGTCAAATTCTTTTGCCACTCTAAATCCAGAACCCCAATCTCAACCACAGATCGAATCTCAACTACAGCCCCAACACCATCCCCTCTCCCTCCCCGCACTACCCGCAGTAGACAGTCTAAACGTTCCACCCCTTCCCCTACCGCACACTCACCTCCATCTACCTTTACCTTTACTCCTCAGACACCAGTCTCCTCTTCCCCCCCTCATAAGAAAACCTTTCTCCTACAAAACTCTCCAACTAACTCCACTGCAGAAACTATGGGAGACATTCAAAGCTATATGCTTGAGACACAAAATTCCATAACTCATGCTCCCTCCACACTTGAAGTGATTGCCGATATCCATACCCCTCCTACTCATACTCCCCCTACACCCCTTCCTCCTACTCCCTCTCAACACAACCTAACCCCCTCAATTCCGTCCACCACTGATATCCATCCTCCTGAAATCCATCCCCTTCCTCCTAATCCCTCCATAGCTCCAACCCACGGATATCCATCCTCCTACCACTAATATCCCTTCCTCCTATTCCCTCCCAACACAACCCACCCCATTCATCTCCAACTATATGCACATTCTCCATCCCGGATACATACGGGAATCACACATGTCACAACAATGTCCTTCCCCAGATTCCCTACCTCCTGATACCCCTCCTTTACACCCCCTAGCTCCTTTCCCCCCAGATTCCCCAACACGTACCAGCAATTTCACTCATAAAAATAACTAAGATAAGCTCTCCTACATGGAATAATTGCAGTTTCCGTTCTCACAGATCAGACCTACCTCACATCCTTGCTTCTTATAAAAACCTGTTCTCCTTCCTCAGACATATAAATATCCTTCACTTGATCTAATTCCCTTGCCTAAACCACCATAACCCTTTCCCTCATCAACCCCCTTACCCTTCTTCAACTTTCCAACATTACTCTAGATAGTTGACGCATAGCAACTATCACCTGACATCACCCTTTACTATACCTTCCTATAGTGCTATATGACCTTAGATGTCTAGCACATTTATTTTGCTTTTAACCATTAACCATTTTCTTTTCTTTTTTTCTTTCTTGCACAGGATGCCCTATGTCTCTACCTTTTAACCATTCTTTGTCTGTAAGTGTATCTCTGTCTCCTTTACACAATCCCCCTTTCTCCCTGTCCTTCTTTTCAGTCCACTGGAATCATAACTTAGGGAGCAGAAAAATAAATAAATGAAGTTGCTACAAAAAACATTTTTGTCATATAAATTCCTTTCTTTGGTTATTTTATACTTTTCTTTAAGTGAGCAAACAAGTAAAATTTGTTTTTCTTGTATTCACGTTCTATGCTTGAGAATGATAAGAGTGAAGAGGGAAAATGTTTGTTTCCATCAACTTACTCACTGACTCAAAGACCGTGATGTGATATCAGTACAATGCTACTCCATTCCTCCTAGAGGTCATCAAAAGAAACCTACCAACATTGCCAAAATTACTTTCCATACACATGACCTTCCCTTTCGTATCTACATTGGTGGACAATCCCTCCCTGTTCGACCATACCAACCTCCTCCCTGTCAATGTCAAAACTGTTGGCTCTTTGGACATCCTGCCAAACACTGCCGTTCCACTAACCGATGCCTCCTATGTGCCCAATTCAGTTATAACTGATCAAACTGCCCTGCACAAACACGCATATGTGCTAACTTCGGTGGCCCCCAAAATGTATTTTATAGAGGCTGTCCCTCTTACAACTTTGAGTCTGAGGTAGCAATTCTCAGATACAAAAATGGTATCACTGTGTGAATCCAGACAGGAAGCACGCTGACTAGGTTTTTCTCATACTCCCTACTCTAGTAATATCGCTCGCTCTGCCCCTGCCCCTCCAACCCAGGATATTCCTACACCCTCTCCTATACCTGCTTACTTTCCCACTTCCACTTCTACCTCCTACCTTTCCCAGTCAAATTATTTTGCCACGTTAAATCCAGACACCGTCCCCTCATCCTCCCTGCACTACACGCAGCAGACAGACTAAACGTTCCACCCCTTCTTCTCCTACCACGCACTCACCTCCACCTACCTTTACCTTTATTCCTCAGACACCAGTCTCCATTTCCCCTCCTCATCTTTATCACTCTCCAAGGAACACCACCAGGGAGATATGCCCAATGGAGAAACCATAGAAGATATTCAAAGCTATATGCTTGAGACACAGATTTCCACAACTCGTGCTCCCTCCACATTCGAAGTGACTGCCGATATCCATCCTCCTCCTACTCATATTCCCCCTACACCCCTTCCTCCTACTCCCTCCTAACACAACCCCTCAACTCTGTTTACTACTGATATCCATCTTCCTCCTACTCATATTCCCCCTACACCATTTCCTCCTACTCCCTCCCAACACAACCCATCCCCCTCAACTCCAACTAAACATACATTCTCTCTCCCTCAATCTCCTCTATCATTTCGTCTCCCTCCTGGATACACACGTGAAACCCTTATACAATTCCCTTACCTAATTCCACCATAGCCCATTCACACATCAGCTCCTTTACCCATCTTTAACCTTTAAAGACTACTCTAGATAGTTGACGCATAGCAACTATCACCCTTCACCTCTCCTTTAATATACTTTCCTATAGTGCTATATGACCTTAGATGTCTAGCACATTTATTTTGCTTTTTAACCATTAACAATTAACAGAATGTAGTGTGCAGAATGAGTCTCTATTGAAGGGAATGAAAATATTGTTGGTCCTTTGGTTTTTACTCAACATGGAAAAAAAAATTACCTTGGTCATTTCTGCAGTTTCAAAAACTTTTTTTTTTGTATGGGATATTCACCAACTGGTTGTCAATGATCATACAATATTAGTAAGGATAGCTAATTTTAAAACCTTTTCTATAAGTTTCATACAAAGGATAGAAGAAATTATCATAATTCAACACATCATGTGTTACTATATTTGAGACATAAAAATAAATGTTTAGCTATATACATAGTCTACTCAATTTTCACATTTTAAAGCTATAAATGATAAAGCAATATACAGTTTGTTTTGAAAGTTTGATAATAAATTTAATAAATCTTCAAAGCCCTTTCCCTTTTACTTCAACATTATGTAGTGTAGAGAACAAGACTCTATTGAAGGGAATGAAAATATTGTGAGTGTCTTGGTTTTTACTCAACATGGAAAAAAAATTACCTTGGTCATTTCTGCAGTTTCAAAACTTCTTTTTGTATGGAATATTCACCAAATGGTTTTCATTGATCATACAATATTAGTAAGGATAGCTAGTTTTAAAACCTTTTCTATAAGTTTGATACAAAGGATACAAAAAAATCATCATAATTCAACACATCATGTGTTACTATATTTGAGATATAAAAATAAATGTTTAGCTCTATACATAGTCTACTCAATGTTCAAATTTTAAAGCTATAAACAATAAAGCAATTTACAGTTTCTTTTGAAAGTTAGGTACTTTCTCCTTCTCCAGACTGCTTCAGTTTTTGTTTGAGAATCCTCACAGCCTGAAAAAAATATTTTAAAAAAGCTAATTAAAGACAACCTCACTCTTTCCAGAAACTTGCTTTTTCATATCAAAAATTTATTTATTGAATAACTGTACAGCTAAAGCAATACTTCTCCTTAATCACTTGATGATGTACAAATAAAGTCATGTAATTAAACTTCAAGTTTATTCAACTTACAATTCAAAGAAGTCATGAAAGTAAATAACGTAAATTTCCAACTTAATATATCACCAGTCAAAGGTAAAATTATATATATTGCAAACTTGCTATTTTATGTTAATACTAAAAATAATGCCTAATCCTCACTAACCTAGCTTTCACTGCATTTGCAGCATCCACAACTTTGGACAGTGATATGAATCGGATGATCCCTAGTCTGCATGACCTTGATTTATGCTAGTTGTGTTACCTACAGTAAAGTACATGCATTATTTTGCCTTTTATACTCTAAGTATGCCAGACCTAAATTTAGAATTTTGCTTATTTGGTCCGTATATTATGGAAAGCAACAACACAAAAAAGAATATGGAATAATCAATCACTAAGGATCTGTTATCACACTCTACTTAACCTCATGTCTTACCTTTTTATATTCTTCAATCTGAGCTTGACTATATTGCTGAACACTTTCAAGTAACTCCTGATACCTTCTCTCCATCTCACTGAGAAGTGTCCGGGTCTCCTCCTGACGACGTGTTAATGCCTCAGAAACAGCAAAGGATCTTTCCTTTTCTAAGGTCATCTGATGTTTCAAGATCTGGAAGTTAAATCAAATAAAAAAAATGCATCTTTCAATGACCTACCACAATGTTCTATACTTACATGATACTTGTTCAAATGTCCCTCAAGAAATAATATACTGTCTTTCAATGATCTACCACACTGGTCCATTACATACCAGATACTCATGGAAATAAAATAATATCATAAGCTTAGGCTACTGGAATATGGTTCTGCTGCATCTGTTTGCATGTATATGCATAATTTAATCATTCTAAGATCATATGTATGACTTTCTTAATTTTTCATCATGTGCTGAATCACATTTTTTATTTCCTGTTATTTCCTAATACAGACATCATTTGTAAATTTCATTTGTTATCAAAGATCTCAAATACTCTTACATCTTACCTCTTGCTTGTGATGCATCTGCAGTTCTACTATTTCCTCTGCATGTCTTTGTTGCAGCCTCTGGAGAGTTTTCTTCTCTTGTCTGATAGTATAATCAGACTCCTCAAGCTTAGCATTTAGATTGATGACTTCCTTTTCCAAAGCCTGGATTGAACTTACATATTCCTTTTGTTGTTTATGAATATTTCTCAGTTGATTTCTTTGTTGCTCAAAAGCTGCACTCTAGCATAGAAAAAATAATATAATCATAACTAAAGGAAATATTGTACATAATAGGATATGTAATATCATCATCACAAGGAATAAAACAATATACTATATAAAAAGCAGAGCTTCATTTCTTCCTTATGAAGAGAAATGAAAAATATCAAAAGCACTTTACTGGATTTCTAAAAGCTCTAGAGTAGATATTTTTTCTATTGATTGGAACTTAAGTTATTTTATTTTTCTTACTTGCGAGAAAACATGTAATACATACATAATATACTGATGTTAGAAATATGGTTCAAAAGCAGACCAGAACTACAGAGTCAGCCATATAAATGTGAGAATGAAGAAAAAAAAATACTTGCCTTTGTTAGCGCTTCTGACAGTTTTTCCTGTAGAAGCACTATCATCTCGTTCATCCTTTTCCGTTCTTCATTATTCTCTTTCTGTATTTTTTCTGTTTCTTTCTCGGATAACATCTGGAGTTCCTAAAAAGATCACAAATTACAATTAACTAATATCCAGTCTCTATTAAAAAGAAAAGCTGTACCCATTAAAGTTGCAAATAATTCATATAGTATACATACTGGAAACAGACATTGCTCTTGAAAGAAAACTTTACAAAGGAATATTTGACATACTTATTCTATACTTTATCATTAGTCCCATTTTTATGGAAAATTTTCAAAAATACACTTTTCATTATCTACTCCACTATCCATTTGGTTAAATGGTTAATGTTTGAAAGCAAAATAAATGTGTTAGACATCTAAGGTCATGCAGCACTATGGGAAAGTATGGTTAAAAAGATACCAAATATCCCCTTGGCAAATTGTAATCAGAATCTAATTAATAAACAAACCTGAAGGGCTTTATCCAGCATCCTCTTTTGATCTGCTTCTAAGCTATAGAATTTTTTCTGCCACTTTTCGGATTCTGCTTTCCATATCTTTATCTCCTCCTCCTGCTTTCTCTTCTCAAGCTGTAGGGTTGAAATACACTCCTCCTGTTCCGATATTCTACGCTCAATATCATTTGCTGGTTTTAACCTGGAACAATCAATTATTAATGTAATATCTATAAAGGCTGCATTTAGTAACTATTCTTAAGCTTTGCAAACAATTTATTCTACACTCATTACCAGATTCATGTTCTTTAAGTTACATATATAAACAAAACAAATATCCACATCAAAATAATAATGAATTGAAATAGCTAATGCCTACGAATTATCTTGTTTACTATTGGCGTTTTCTTTTTTTTCAAATATTTGCTCATATTCCCCCATCATAGAGGGATACATCATATATTGAAATTATGCAATTCACTTATCATTACGTGAACATCAAATAATGGTTTTAATCCTATTTTACACCATACCTGTTTCTTAGTTCTTCTACTTCATGTCTGAGGGCATCCTTTTCCTTAGATATTTCCTCAAGATTCGAGATCAGCTGCTCATTTTCCTGCTTTGGATTTCTCTTCTCTAGAAACAATTCAGTTTCTCTTTTCTCTGCCTGCAAGGATTGTCTTAGTGTTACAGCGTATAAAATGAGATAGCATTTACAAACATAATTTACAAATATGTTTTGTCATGTGTCAGCAAACATTTTTTACTCACCCTTAATTTACTTATTACAGCATTCATTTGCATTATATGTGTTTGATGTTCCTTCTCCACTAGCTCAACTCGTTTTCTGTTTTCTGACAATAAATCCATAATTTTTGTATCAAAGTTTTTTGTGGCTTCCTCACGAGCAGCTGATACTCTATTTTCTGCTTCATGCACCTAACAATAGAAAATTAACTGTTAAAAATATATACAGTAATAATATATGTCAACTAGAAGCATAAGTAAACCTGTAAATTCAATCTATTATTTTCTTTAATAAAAGAAATGGAGTAAAAAAGGCAACTCTACAAATAATTGACTGATTATTCAACCTGAACAAAGGAATGGAAAAAAAATCCACTCACCTTTTTTTCACACTCTAAATGTAACAAAGACAAAGCTTCCTTATGTCTTTCTTCTTGATATCTTAACTTATCTTCATAAACTCGAATCTCCTTCCCTTTCTTCATCTCAAGATCTCTCATTTTGGATTCTAACTCTTCCACAACCTGCCACAGAAGGATACATTTGAGAGAAAACTCAAAACTCAAACTCTCATTAAAAGGGATTCTTTCAGTATACAAATTTTATATAGAAAACATGTATATTTCTGGGTCAACAATCTTAATTCAAAAGCACAGAAAATTATGCCAATTGTGTGGCAAGGTCACATTTTCTCTTTCCTCTTCATAAACATTAGTACTGCTATATATATCATGCACTATTATCATAGGGAGGATAAATATTTCTACAGCACTGAATGGAATTCTTAAATATGCTAAACCTGCATCATTATCAGAATCATGTAAAAAAGAATTAGACTAATGAATGCATATGCATGAAATTAATATAACGTGGATGAAATTTTTCTTAGTGTAAAGTGTAACCTGTTGTTTGATAAAGCAATGTGTGATCTTTGGTATTATATACTGAACTAGTATTGCTATTTCTAAATGCCTTATATATTGATAAATCACACTAACAATGTATCATTCACCCAAGTTGATTTTTTTTATAATAAACTGCATATGAATTGCTTTCAGTGAACCAAAATTACTTGAAATCTTACCTGAACCATTTCTGTAAGTTTGTCCCTATATAGGGATATCCTTGCATTAGCTTCTTCATCCTTCTTCTCCAATGCAAACCTCAATTTTTCCTGATTTAATTGCTCTTGGTGGAGATGAAGTTGACGGAGCTGAGTTTCTAGCATAGTTGACATAGCATTCCCATATCTTTCACTTATAGTGTTATTCAGAGAAGAAATATGGCTCTGGTTCAGACATAAAGCATGTCCTTGTTTATCTTGGATACTTACCTCTTCATGTTTTTGCTGGTTACAATGGCAATTGTAATTTGCATCTCTTGAAAGAGGAATTTTAAGACCAGGATAAGATTCATTACTTCTTGACATATGGAAATCCTTATAGACATGACTACCCTCTTTTAAAACTCCATTTTGCAAATCTAAACCTGATCCAAATGTTTTTGAATGATAAAGCTTTTTCCTTTCTTCTTCCTCTTCAATACTGACTTTTCCTTTATATCCCTCAATTGAATTAACTAATGTGTAGAGACGCTGGCGTACTCTACTCTTCAACTTTGGGCTCACAGGTATATCAAAGAGATTTTTCTTGACTGAATCAACATCAGGTTCATCAGCTGTGGCAGACTTTAATGGTCCTGAGAAAGAACGGCTTCTTGTCATTTTGGGTTTTGCTGAAACATCATCCATAAATCGTGATAAAATGGAATTTCTCTTGCTTTGAGAATCAAGATCAACTTTCACCTTTGTATTATACAATTGTGTTGATACATCCTCACAGTCATCATCAGAGGCTAAACTATCCACTTGATGCTCTGTAAGATCTCCTGCATCATCAATAGAAGAGAGAAGAGGATCATCCAATATCATCTTACTTGGTAAAATGGCCCGATCAGCCATAATACCAGGGAATCTAAACTCCTTCTTTGGTGTTGACGTAACATACTGATTAGTTTTCCCTTCCGAAGACAATGACTTTTGATTGCCTTGTGCACTGCCATTTTCATCATTAGAAAGTCCTTTGCATGAGTCGATGCCAGAATCTTGGCCACTGTTCATACTGGGCCTTTCTGAAGATTCCTGTACTTTTTCTCCTTCACTGTCACCCATTCTTCAATATTCATCTTGTTTTCCAGCTTAAATTGCATATCTTGTATCCATATTTCTTTATTCTTGCATTTCTGAAAAATTAGGAGAAATAAGTAATCCCTTATTTTGAAGAACATAATTACAATACATTTATATATAATAGTTTCAACAATTTTTCTTCACTAGGCCTATCCAATACAATGAAACTATCCAGGACAGAACAATGGGAAGAACTAGAAAAGTAAACAATACTGTCCTAAAGCACGAAAGAAATAACACACAGTTTTATAGATTAAATCATACAGGCAAAGGCAAAGAAGCCAGGAGATATTGAAAAAAGTACCAGCAATAACACAGGCAGTCACCACAGTAGAGGCCAGCAAACTAGCATCACATATAGCGCCAAAATATATCTATGCCTGTAAATTTCTCTGGCAATTTCTTATCAGAAATGTGCACATGATACAAGTCGCTTGATACAGTCCTATTCTTGACAATTACCCCTAAAAGTCTCAGCTTTGCAATTTGAAAACTGAATAAAATTTCTTTGGGTAAATTTGTATACTGAATTTAATAAGATAATGTTACATGAGTATATATCCAGTACATGAAATGAAATAGTAGTTACTGAGACTTTAACAAATGCCACGACCTGCTCAAATATGTTGCACTATTAAAAGGCCAATAGGCCTACAGACATTTATGATAAGGATAAAGATAAAACTTTGGCTTGTCTATTACATGAAACTTGCCTGCCAAGCAGATATGAAAGACAGCTTGTTGGTCCTTGCCAGAGAACCAGAAGCAGATATGAAATTTTATGAGTATAGATAAAAGATGCGCTGAGACACCACCATCTTGCTTGTTTCACCATGCATGCGCAGTAAACCAAACGGTCGCTTTTCTTGTAGTTACTTCTACATATTTTACTTGTGACATTATGTAGAAGTCAGGCAAAAGGTAGGACCTACCTATCCTTTATTTAGTCAACAGCCAATTCCAGTTAAGAGACACTTTTTGGTGTGCAGATAAATAAATACAAACTTCTGAAATGATGCTGATATTTGGCATTA